CAGTATTCCTAACATAAACTTTTTTTTCATTTGTTGCGCATGCATTTCCTTGATTAATTTAGGTTGATAATATGAATGGGCATATTCATGTGATGAAATTCATCGATTTGTGGGAGCTTGATGACAGAAAAAAATGCAACATATGTGGGAAAAAAATACATGGTAATCCATGTAAATGCGAGACATGCAGCTTCCAGACGCATAATTTCTGCGCAGAGCTAGGGCGACCATTAAAGCATCGAGTTCATCGGAAACATGCTTTGTTACTCTTGCCAAAACCCCCTGCACCTGCAGAAGTTACTATGAAGTGTGACATTTGCACATATGATATAAAAGAGTTTAATCTCTTCTGTCGTATATGCAATTTTATCATCCATACCACTTGCATCTATAAAGGTAAACATATGTTTGTGGAGTCACAAAGGGGGCAGAAAATCATTGGAAGCTCGAGAGAACGATGCATTCAAAATAAACATTTCTTGGTTAAAGTTATGGTCTCGACTTCTTATGTGATGGCTTGCGCGATTTGTGATGAAAGGGTGAGTGGAAAAGTTCTATCATGTATGAAGTGTGGAGACATATATCATCCTCTGTGTACTGAAGTTGGGAGACAAAGAATATATAGTCATCCACTTCATCCTCATCACGGCCTTGGAATTTCCCTGGTTAGTGGATCCAAGTGCATTGCATGCCAGCTGAATATAACAAAGTATGGGTGTCATTGCTCCATTTGTGAAATCAGTTTCCATATGAGATGCATTAAAGCGGTGAGATTACCAAAAAATATCAAGTCTCACCGTCATTGTTTCTACAACTTTTGGATCTCTGACTCGAGGAGGGTCACTCGAACATGCCGTGTGTGCGCTAAACCATGTGGTGTCTCGTTCTACAGTTGTATTGATTGTGACTTCAACGCCCATGCAGAATGCATTGGCTTTCCATCCAACGTGAAGAACCAACAACATCAGCATACTCTCGCGCAAGATCATCGGGTTTTCGGGGGTACTTGTTCTCTATGTGGATCAAGATTTTCTAAGGATATCTATTCCTGCAAACACTGCATGGACGAGTTTCACTTTAAATGCATAATGTCTACGGTAAAGATTTAATCAATCATCTTGTAGAACCCAAACCATTTGTTTTTTTTTTTTTACGATTCAATTTATGTTGTTTCTGTCATACAGGATGACCGTGATGCGGCAACAGAAGAGAAACAACTCGGAGACATCTATCTTATGTACATCGAGCGTGATCTCCTCCACTTGTTAGAAAACAGTGAGTCTTAGTTTAGTACTGCAACTTCCGCTATCTAAGGATATGTCTCAAAATATTATCATTAATTTTCTTCTCTTTCATGTTATCAACTGAAGGGGGCGGCATGGATAGTGATGACGTGATCGAAGACAGTGATTCATCTTATGATTTCCCCTCTACGAACTAAGTCCTGCAACTTTCCTTCTCTGAAGTTACGCCTCAAATCATTTTCTACTTAACGTGTTTAATATCCATTTGGTGAGTTATGTTTTCTATATGTTTATTTTGCTTAATTTGTGTTTATTCAATTTTGGTGGTCGTGTGCCTGTGCCACTTCTTTTCTAAGCTGTTTATACTTTTGATGCGTTTTCAAAAACATTTGCATTTTGTTATAAAGACTTCAACCACTATTTCTGGTACTCAACTCAACACCGTCATCTTGTCCTTGTATATTTACCATCGTCTGGAATAAGCTAGCTAGCCTTCCTCAGACTGAGATAGAAACTTTATTTGCATCTCTATGCGAAGAATCGAGTATGGTTCCTTGATGCTGATTCTTGAATGTAGCCTAGTTCCTTGTGGAATTCCCAATAGTGGATTTTCGCAAGAACAATTATCAACAGCAAAGAGTTCCCACTCCTTAATCCACATTTCTCCAATGCAGACTGCAATCTCTCCCTTTCCTTCTCTACAGGGTACGAACCATCTGGTGTCACGAGCACAGCCCCGGTGTAAGACTGCCCTGCTACACAAGCTGTTCCATTGTAATGGAACATCCCCCAACTTAGATCATCAGACACATCCACAATTGTCCAAAACATGTTTGACACCACACCATTGTCCAATACACTGAAGCGGAACGTTGCAGGAATCTTTCCTCTCTTAACCGAGTATTTTCTCCTTGTCCACACCAACTTTCCTTCAAGCGTCCTAGTACATACCAAAAGGACGACTTCCCTTTCCCCTGTAGAAAAGTTGGTACTGACATGGAAACTGATCATAAGCTGGGTTTTGTCCTGCCAGCTCCAACCCAAGTCCCCTAACCATCCAACAAACAAATCTTGTGCTGTCTCATGACATAGCTCTTTCCCTCGAAAACTTTGCACTCAGTCTGTAGTACACAAAGAGAGAATGCTTCAAAGTGTGGACTCTCATAAGAAGCAATGCATCTGTAACTACACACCTGGTCCATAGGACTACAATGGTTCAAACACTGTAGCGCTTTCCGACAATTAGGAACGAAGAGACAGTTCAAAAATCTTGAGGTCCACAGTTCTTTACCATACAACCAAGTGTAGAAAACCCTTTCGACCTCAAGTTTTGCAACACAGGAACTGCTTTTGATGATCACAAGCAAACAAAACCTTATATCATCAGAGTTACGACGCGTATCCAACTGTCATCACAACCTTCGTTGCTTCTTTGTCTTTATTACCGGTTCCAAACTAATCCCCTCCAAGCCTGTTCATCAAATCAGGAGAAGACTCGAAGCAAATAATGTTCTTGATCCTTTTGCTATTTGTCTGAATCCAATTCACAGATTCTAGGTTACTAACAGCAACTACAACCAAGATATCAGTCTGATTCAGTTCCTGTTTTGTGATTCACAGCTCTCTGATCATTTGACTGTAAAATTTCATAATCAAAGACGAGCATTTCGTATCCTTCATCAACCCATTTCAGCCTTCTTGGTAAGGATTATATCAGGAAATTTACAAGAATTGTTGGAAAGAGAGGAGATAATTACTTCCAGTGTGGTAGGAGCATAACTTCGACCCAGGAGGTGGATTTGAGTGGGCTTACTTCTCCTTTCCCTACAAGAGCAACCAATCTTACCGGAGGCTCAGGGTTTTCCGTCTTCGCCGTCTCCAGAACAGAGCGGACAATGATGGAAACCCAATCTCCGTACTGAAAACGATGTGCCATCTAAAGAGAAGGACGAGACTTCCGGTTGATATTAACCGGAGAGGAAACCGTTCGACGAGTGACGAACCGGTTGAGGAAGAGAGAAGAACACTCACTCGTTCCGTTACTTTTTGAGAGAAGATACAGTAACGTCGACTCTCATTGGTCTGGTTTATTATTGTTCACAAGTAAGCCACGTGTTGAGTTATGATTGGTCCAATTGCTTTAAACATTCTCTAGTCCTCTTCTATCAGAAAAAGTAGTCGACTCGAGAAGCCCAAATCGGAGAGAAAACTCCGATCATGGTTTAAGCAATTAGAACCCAATAGCCAATCTAAACCAATTGCCACAATTCGGTTTAATTTCGAATTTTCATTAGATCATGGACTTTTAAGTTTTCGGTTGCACATTTTAGGTTCGGTTTAACATCAACATTTTATTCAAATATATCTCAAATTCCATTTATCACCATTATCAAAAAACATGAAACGAGATTTGTGTCTAAAAATCTCAAGCGTAATAACCACAGAGAAAGTTGTAGACCCCATTTGGTATATTTTTTACCAATCCATGGTGAGACCTCCTTATTAATCACCAAACCAAAAACAGCAAAAAGGGAATGAGAGATCTTTCTTCTGCCTTTCGTACAACAAATCAAATGTTTCCGAGGATCAAACCTTAGATGAAGTTACGGATGTCCAACGACTTCACGTCAGGCATTTCCTCATCCTTGAATTCCTCCCTGAAAAAGTCACAAGTTCCATCGTGTTACAACATGACGGAGACTAAAGATTGATGATGAGATTAAAAAATGCAAAACTTACTTCTTTTTCTGAGATTCCATTGCTTCAAGAGCATCACTCTTCAGCTCATCCAACTGTGCTTTGGCAATGCTGAGCTCCGCCTGTTCCTCGTATTTAGGAAGATCTTCTTTCCTAATCCCAAGCCTGTTCAGATTAATGATTTCATTAGCTATATAATATGTAATCGATATTATATAAGGAGCAATGGGAATTCTGTGTTCTTCTTGTCTTGTATGGGTGGTTAATGAGTGTGATGACGCACTTTTTGTTGCCTTTTTCGAATTCTGCAACCAAAAGATCCATTCCTTTCTTGTCGCTTCTTAAGAGAGGCTTCTTTATATCCTTTTCAACTTTCTCCAAAGCTTCAAACATCATGGCCTCAGCACCAAGTTCATCAGTAAGGCCCCTCCTGCAAAAAATACCACAGGAAGAAGAATAATTACTTTCAACAATTCTTAAAAAATGTTGGAAACAATAGGATGGCAAAGAGGGAAGTAAGAAGACATTTCTACACTCTGAATATGTTAACCTAAGAACAGCAACTTGACTGATGAGGCAACAACAACTATCCAAAAGAACAACAGTATCTATTCGAATTCTAACACCTACCTGGTGCGGATGTCCTTCAACTTCAACAAGTACGCGCGAGCATCTGGAATCTCTTTAGTCTCGTTCTCAATATCATATTTGATGCGTTGAGATTCTGAGAACATGTCTGCCCTGCATACCAAAAAAAAAAAAAAAGCATGACATTAACAAGGTGAAACAGTAACCCTGACCCAGATGTGGAATTAGGTTTGGGGAAAACGTAAAGTGAAAAACCAAGAAATCCCAACAAACAGAAATAGAGACAGCAACATACAATTACGTTAAAGAACAAACATCTAGATAAGAGCAACAAGAGGCTTACTTTTGCCTGATGGTCTTCATTACATTTGCATACTGTTTTACCGCAGCTGGGTCCTCTGGATTAAGGGTGATTTTCTCCTTACGGAGAATATCAACAGCAGCCTGAAACTTGTTCTTGATCTCTGTAAAGACACCCTTCAACATCTCTGTCCAAAAGTGTACAAGTTTAGTCAATAATAGTAAATGATGATGCTCTCAGCTCACTCTAAACACACTCTACAGTATTCAACAACACAATGAACATAATCCATCGTAAAATGATTACATATAGACCAAACAGAAGAAGCAAAGAGCAGAACAACAGTCTTAGCGATCATGGCCTGGATTTCTCAAGATTATATTGCATTGACCAATAATTTATTCTTCTTTAAGAACATGATCTAAATTCCACATCTAGACATCATCATAAACTCGAAAACATGAATTAGCAAACAAGCGAAGCGAAAAGCAACTGTTTTCAGAAAAATAATGCAACCAGAAGCAACGAAGCGTGTAAGCGTGTAAAAAAGCATAATGTTTTGTACAAAATTACAAATCAAAGATATCAGTATGTTCACAAACCATCTCCTTTAAATGTTGGACGAGCAGCTTCTTTTGCAAAGGCGCGGACTGGAATAGCATGGTGCTGCTGCAAAATGACCAGACTCCCCTGTAGCTGCACAAAGAAAGTAACATAAGTTGCAGCGAATCAATGAAATCAGAAAAGTATGGTCGTTCACAGGTTTTGATGAGAATTACTTCTTGCAAACCATCTTATCACAGTTTAAAGCAATTCATTTCAAAAATGTATTAGCAATCAACAAAGAGTAGCAAAGGAAACAAGCCAAAAAAAAACCATCAATATCATTTACCAGCAGAGTTCAAAACCATACTCCCACCATTAAACTCTCTGATCGAGATTTTATAGAAGACAACAAAAATTCGGTATCAAATACGACGACGACAATGAAATGGCACACCTATTATGTGATTCGGTGATAGATACAATCAAATCCATCATCTTGCTCGAATCATCGCATCAAACACACATAGAACCCAGAAATCATATGCAAATAAAGGAATCGGACAGACCGAAGAAGAGAACCAAAACAAAGGATACGCATTTGTCGATGTCGTTCTATGAAGAGAAAGGATTCAAATGGATCAAAAGAAATCGAGACAGAGAGTAGTATACCTGCTTAGATCTGGAGAGGAAACGAGAAGCGTAAGCCATTTTCTGATCGAATCGAATCGAATCTCTCTGGGATTGTTGAAATTAGGGTTTGTCCTGAGTTGAGATCCCTATCTGAGCGACGGAAGCAGAAGTAAGAGGTAAACCAGTCCCTGCTTAATTGTTTAGCGTAGATTAGGGATAAACGGCTGAGATTTATTCGAATATTCTAATTAATTTTGGTTTTTGGAACGCTTGCAAATGTTTTTTTTTGAAATAACATTTCCTGATTATCAATTAACAAATTACTTTTTGTTTTTCCGTTTACCAATTTTGTTACATAAATATATATTATATATACACAATATTAAAAAAAATATACATCAATAGAAATTAATTTGACGATATTTTCAAATACAAGTATATATCTATGCAA